CTGAGGAAATCCAGAGAATCATCAGGTCATACTTTGAAAACTTTTACTCCACAAAATTGGGAAATCTAAAGGAAATGGACAGTTTCCTGGATAGTTATCACTTACCAAAATTAAAGATAAGCAGTTTAAATCGACCTATAACCCCTAATTAAATAGAAGCAGTCATCAAAAGACTTCGAACTAAAATAAGCCCAGGGCCAGATGGCTTCACTGCAGAATTCTACCAGAAATTGAAACAAGAGCTAAAACCATACTGCACAAGGTGTTCCACACAATAGAAGCAGAAGTGATATTGCCAAACTCTTTTTACAAGCTAGAACCACATTGATAATCAAACCATACAAAGATAGAACTAAAAAAGAGAACTACAGACCAATATCCCTCATGAACATCGATGCAAAAATACTCAATAAAATATTGGGAATTGAATCCAAGAACACATCAGAAAAATCATCTACAATGATCAAGTAGGCTTCATCCCAGGGATGCAAGGATGTTTCAACATACAAAAATCCATCAATGTAATCCACCATATAAACAAACTGAAAAAGAAAAAACAACACATGATCATCTCACTAGATGCTGAACAAGCATTTGACAAAATCCAACACCCCTTCATGATAAAGATCTTGGAGACAACAGGAATAACAGGAACATATCTAAACATGATAAAAGCAATATACACCAAACCAATAGCCAACATCAAACTAAATGGAGAGAAACTCAAAGCAATTACTCTAAAATCAGGAGTAAAACAAGGCTGTCCACTCACTCCATATCTCTTCAATATTGTACTAAGTTCTAGCTAGAGCAATAAGACAAGAAAAGGAAATCAAAGGAATACAAATTGGAAAGGAAGAAGTCAAACTTTCACTATTTGCAGATGATATGATAGTCTATATAAGTGACTTTAAAAACTCTACTAGGGAAATCCTACAGCTGATAAACACCTTTAGCAAAGTGGCAGGATACAAAATTAACTCAAAAATATCAGTAGCCCTACTATATTCAGATGATACATCCAATGAGAAAGAAATCAGAGAAACATTACCCTTCAGAATATCCACAAGCAACATAAAATATCTTGGGGTAACACTAACCAAATAGTGAAAGACCTATACAGTAAGAAGTTTGAGTCTTTAAAGAAAGGAACTAAAGAAGATACCAGAAAATGGAAAGATCTCCCATGCTCTTGGATAGGTAGAATCAATATAGTAAAAATGGCAATCTTGCCAAAAGCAATCTACATATTCAACACAATCCCCATCAAAATCCCAACACAATACTCCACAGATCTTGAAAGAACAATACTCCACTTTATATGGAAAAACAAAAAACCAGGATAGCCAAAACAACTCTGTACAATAAAGGATCTTCTGGAGGCATCACCATCCCTGACTTCAAGCTCTATAATAGAAGTCTGAAAACAGCTTGGTATTGGCACAAAAATAGACAGACCAATGGAATCGAATTGAAAACCCTGATACTAACCCACACACCTATGAACACCTGATTTTTGACAAAGATGCCAAATATATACAATTGAAAAAAAGATAGCATCTTCAACAAATGGTGCTGGCACAACTGGATTTGGACATGCAGAAGATTGCACATAGATTCATGTCTGTTACCATGCACAAAACTTAAGTGCAAATGGATCAAAGATCTCGACATAAATCCAGCCACACCAAATCTTCTAGAAGATTAAGTGTGAGATACCTTTGAACAAATTGGCACAGGAGTCTGCTTCCTGAACATTACACCAATAGCACAGATATTGAAATCTGCAATTAATAAATGGGACCTCCTGAAACTGAGAAGCTTCTGTAAGGCAAAGGACACAGTCAGTAAGACAAAAACGAAAGCCCATAGAATGGGAAAAGTTCTTCACCAACCCCACATCTGACAAAGGGTTGATTTCCAAAATATACAATGAACTCAGGAAGCTAGCCACCAAAACAGGAAAAAATGAAATTAAAAAGTGGGGTGCAGGACTAAGTAGAGAATTCTTAACAGATGAATCTGAAATGGCTGAAAGACACTTAAGAAAGTGCTCAAAATTCTTGGCAATCAGAGAAATGCAAATCAAAACAACTCTGAGATTCCACCTCACACCTGTCAGAATGGCTAAAATCAAAAATACCAATGACAATCTACAATTCTGTAGATGATGTGGACAAAAAGGAACACTCCTCCATTGCTTGTGGGAGTGCAAACTTGTAAGACCACTTTGGAAATCAGTATGGCAGTTGCTCAGAAAAATGGCAATCACTCTACCTCAAGATCCAGCGATTCCTCACTTGGGCATATAATCAGATAATGCACGTCCATACAACAAAAGGCATATGTTTAACCATGTTCACAGCAGCATTGTTTATAATAGCCAGAACATGGGTAGGGGAGAGGGTACTGCCACAATAAGAGCAAGAGAAGAGGAGTAGAGGAGAGGAAATGGAGGAGCAGAAATACTGAGTTGGGGGAAGAATAGAGGAGAGAGAGCAGGAGGAGAGATGCCATATTAGAGGGAGCCATTATAGGTCTGAGAAAAGATCTGGAACTAGGGAGATCTCCAGAGACCTACAAGGATGACATGATCTGACAATCCAGGCAATGGTGGAGAGGATAACCTAAAAGCCCTTTCCCTAAAATGGGATTGATGACTATGCTTTATGTCATCCTAGGGCCTTCATCCAGTGACTGATGGAAGCAGAGACAGACATCCACATACATACACTGAGCTGAAATCTGGAATTTAGTTGAAGAGAGGGAGTAATGAAGATTGAAGGAGTCTGTACCAGGTTGGAGAAACACACAGAAACAGTTGGCCTGAACAAGGGAGAGCACTTCGACCCCAGATGATGTCTGGGAGGCCAGTACAAGACTAATCCAGACCCCTAAACATGGATGTCAATAAGGAGGCCTCTGCACTCCAGGGATCCTCTGATGGTGGATTAGTATTTTTCCCTGGTGTAAGAAGGGACTTTGAGAGCCCATCCCACGTGAAGGGATTCACTCTGGTCCTGGAATCATGGGGAAGGGCCCAGGCCCAGCACAGGAAGATTTGGTGGCTGCTGAGGGCCCTACCCTGCCTTGGGGGTGGTGGGTGGATGGGTGGGGATAGGTTGGAGGTGGGGGGAGGAGGGATGGGGGTGAGGGGAGGGAGAAGAAAAAGAAAAAGAAAAAGAAAAGAAAATTATATTAAGCATAAAAAAGAAGGGACTTTGAGAGCCCATCCCACGTGAAGGGATGCACTTTCGGCCTGGACACATGGGAGAGGGCCTAGTCCCAGCCAAGGATGATGTAGTGGACTTTGGGGAGCCCCCGTTGAGGGCCACTGCTTGGGGAGTGGAGGGTGCATGGGGTGGGGGTAGTTCGGGTGTAAGGTCGGAGGGCTGGGGGGAGGTGATTGAGAGGGAGAAGGGATTGACATGTGAAACAAGCTTGTTCCTAATTTGAACTAATAAAAAAATTACAAAAACAAAAAAACAAAAATGTATGTAACAGAGATATTTGTTCTCCATTCTCCTTATTTCCTATTGATAGACACAAAAGCAATTAATAAATTTAATTTTTTTTTGTTTTTGGGCAAGGCACCCATCAATTCTGTGACATTAAAGAGAACAACAGAGTTCAGGATGGGGGATATAATGTGGAAGGAAAAAAGGAGAAAAGAAGTTGGTATCATTAGGGATAAGATCTGCTCCCTACCAAGTAGTAATGAAGATGCCCCACAAGAGCCTAGAGGCAAGAGTTGTACTATGTGCCTTGTCTAGGGTAGGGAGGTAGAATTGGGACAATAGTGAAAAAGACAGAAAAATTAGAAACCTTGAAGCAAAGAGCCTGAGAGTGAAAGGAACATGGCTGAGTCACTGTTTGTCTCTGAAATCCAGTCATGTGAAGGAACCATGGAAATGACTGAGAGGTCATATTAAGCTGCTACCACAAATACCACCATAACACAGCTCATAAACTGAACAAACTCATTTCTCACAGTCCCAGAAGCTAGACAGTCCAAGACCAGATACGGGAAATTCAGGATTGGGTTCATAGATGTTGCCTTGTCATTGATTTTGTGTGAAGGAACTAGCTCTTTGGGATATCTTTGCTAAGGACAATAATGCCAATCTTGGTCCCCAAATGTAGTGGATAGAAATAGAAATAAGCTATATTAGTCAGGATTCTGTAGAAGATAACCAATAAGATGAAAACATATATGTATAGTTATATGTAAGAATATTTCTAGCTTCAAAATAGTAACAAAAGCAGTATCACATCTGAGAGATGAGAACCTAGTAGTTGCTCAATCTACAAAGGCAGGTGCCTCAGTAGTACCAGTCTGTTGCTGAAGACCAGATGGTTCCTGGAAATCTGTTGTTCCCTAGTCCACAATTGTAGGTTAGAAAACCTTGTTCTGATATCAGTAAAGGAATCAGCAGCAGCAGCAACAGAACAAATTACCTCAGCATAAGAGGGAAGACCAAGGAGCAAAAGGCAAAATGATCTTAGTTCTACCATGCCCTTTTATGAGTACTGCTACTACACAGAGGGCACCTGAAATCTAAGTGCGTCTTTCCTCATCAGTCTAGCCAATCAGGACATTTTTTTCAGGTGAGGCTTCCTACCTAGGTAATTTTTGTTTGTGCTAAGTTGACATATATAAAATCAACTATAATAAGAATAACCTAAGATGTAGAAACAATAAAAGAATCCAAAGGTTCATGGTTCATAGCTTATTCTACTCATTCTTTTGGTTGTATAAAGAGCAGGTAAGAAGAAATACCCTAGATTCCAGCTTCTGTTTTTCTCCTTGCTGTCACTATAATTTTATGGACTATAATTAAAACCTCCATCTACTTCCTCAGAAGACTGAAGATATCACAAAATATTGTTGTGGTAAATAAAATAATGATCATAAAATATTGGCAACTTTAGAGGTGAGCATGACAAATCCATTCCATCATTTCCCCTTTGCTTTAAGGTAAAGTTCCAGTTTTTTCAACTCCCGGACATTTACATTATCTTCGGTGTTGAGCACTATATTATGGACTCATCTATGATCCTTACATAAAGCAAAATGAAAGTTTAATAAGAGAATATAATGCTTTAGTTTGAATGTTCCAGCACTGGTTGTCCTAAAATCACCTTTTAAGTTGAGTTATCTAACAACAGTGCCTGCCTTCTCTAAGATCACCCAGCGTGAATGGAAAGCCAGCTAAGTATTTTCTTTATTTGCCTAATTATATTCAAAGTTGCTTTGGGCCCCAGGGCCTGCATTGGACCTCCAATAACTAAGAAGCCTGGCAAGTTCTTGGATCCTCAAGTTACAATAGTGGCAGGCTATGAACTCATCTCAGTGACAGATGGTTTTATTAGTGACCACTGCCAGACACTTGGCTAAGGGAGGGACACATGGCTATCAGTGTCTGTTCTGCTTTGGTGGAATGGCATCTGTGTGCCCAAGAGAGCTGGGTCTGCAAATAATGGCCAAAAAGCGAGATGGTGTACCTTTGATGCCATCCATGAAGAAAATAATCTAAAACACAATTTTACAATGCCTTCCCTTGGGTCCTGAGGCAAAAAAGATAACAGGCAAAAGAGGACCATAAGAGGACCAAGATGTCTTCTCACAGGGTAGTCATATAATATGGGAAAGGATATCAGAATGTATGGAATAGTCAGTGAATTTTAACCCTAATCACTTTGGCAAAGAACCTCAGAAATAAAGTTTTCAAATTATTATTATCCAAACATAGGGAATGGGGATACTTATTAAATAATATGTCATAAAAAATAAATTTCCCATCCTGGATGGTAAACAGAAAGTGGTCTTTAAGCAGAACTTGGCTATAATGAAGTGGCATGTTATTAGAAGCATTCAGTTTAGAGAGGAAGCAATAGTGACCATCTAGTTAAACAGAGAAGATACCAGCAGGAACATCAAAGGCCAGGGAGTTCAAGGTTACATTTTGTAATTGTCATCTAAATGTGCACAGTGGCCAGGTGCTTTGTTTGCTTAAGACAATGTAGACCAAGTTTCTCTCATACTTAGGCATCAAAGAGGCAGAGTATACTCTAAAGTAGTCTGATGGGTATCTACCAATCTTCACTCTCAGTTTACCAACAACTGAACAGGTTAGATAGCATAGATTTCTAGCTCATTCTATTAAGCCATCATTAGACAATTACCAAAGTCAGACAAAGCTTTGACAAGAACAAGAGCACAGAGAAGTGTCTTAGGGGAATAGACACTAAAAATTTGGACAAAATATAAAATTGAATAACTGAATACTTCATAGTCAATACAAAATGGTATATAAAATATTTTTCACTACAAATTAGAATTTTTCCTAGTTATTAAAAGTTGGGTCAGCACTTACAGTCAGTTAGTATAATAGATAACAACAATAAATGATACCAGAGTAAAAACCTACCACATGATTTTATCATGAAGAATATTAAAACAAAACCTATGGCAAACACATTGCTTCCTGACAGAGGTAAAAAATTAGGCACTAAAGTCAGAAAGAAGGAAAAATTCCTCTTTCACTAAATTCTCTATTCATGTTGTGCTAGAAGTCTCATCCAATGAAATGAAATAAGAGAGGGAAGTAAATTATACATACAATGAGAAGAAAGACAAAACTCTCCATGATAGTAGATGACATGCTCCATTTATATAGGAACCCACAAAGAACTAACAAAATTCTTGGAACAGAGTGTGGGCTACACAGGTGTGATGGTTGGCTTTGCCCACCCAATGTAATCTAGAATCATTAGGCAAGAGAATTTCAATAGAAAATTACCTAAAATGGGTTGGTCTGTGTGCCAGTCTGTGAGGGGTTATATTAAGTTAATTGATATGGAAATAGACAGCCACTGTGGGTGGCACTATTCCTTAGGCTGGTGTCATGACCTATATAGGAGTGGAGAAATCAGGCTGAGCAAAAGCAAGCAGGAAAGCAAACATGTATGCATTCATCTTTCTCTGTTATTTGTGGAAGTGAACTAACTAGATGCTTCAAGTTCCTGCCTCCCTGTACCCACAATAATGGATGGGAGCTTGAAATTATAAACTGTAATTATACTACTTTCTCCATTTCTATATTGCATTTTGTCAAGTAATTTTTGTAACAGCAACAGAAAAGAAATGTTGACAATGAATAACTACTTTGTTACATTCCATGGAGACATGGGATTTGAAATTCAAAACACAATGAAGTTCATATTTTTAATCCTGTCAATATTTGTATGATTTATATCAGGAAAAACAAAGCAGTGGTGAAGGAAACAAGTAATCAGGTAAACCGATTGGAGATGTGTGTCACATCCAAGTGCAATAGGAAGACACAATGCTGTCAACATATCACTTATTACTAAGCTGGGCTACAGCTCTGATAAAATCCAAGTGAAAAACCCTACAAATTACTTTTTAGGTACTGACAAAATATTTACAAAGCTTGTGTGTTCATTAAGTTTTAATGAAGATGCAATGACCAAGAAGGACAATATGAAAGATAAAGTTGGAGGTCTAAGAGTCATTCAAAATTGATTATAAAGTTACAGGCACTTAATGCACCAAGTATGACCACCTGTGTTGTATACCCAGGACCTCCATGCTGGAGAGACAATTCTAACCAGTAGCTCTATGAGCTCCTATGTGTGTCCTGGCATGTACATATTTATACTTGTGTAACACACACACCGATTTGAAAAGTAATATAAATTTTACAAGACAACACAGGAGAAAATCATAGAAGCCAAAGAAAACTGTAATTACTATTGTCATAAAAGTGTGCTCTGAAACTCACCAGGCTTAAGGATTGGGTGATGACTAGGGAGTAAACAGAGGACAGAAGGAAGAGAAGGAAGAGTGGGAATGAGTGCTAATCATCACCCTAGGGAGCCTAGTGGTTTCATGTGAACCAGAGCCTGTCAGACCCAATGACAAAAAGGCTATACATCATTGTTGCTGTACCCTGCTGTTTCTGTAGATCTGTCCCCATCACTGACTGAGTGAAACTGTCCCCAGAGCTTGTGAACATTCCCCACAGAAGGTGCTGCTGGAATCTTAACATTAAAGAGAGACTGAGGGTGGGGTGCACCCAAAATGGCAAACATGATCAGGCAAGCTCTAGGTGGAATACAAGGGTGCAGATTTTTGCTTTGTAAACCAGTCTCAACATTATGGATAGAGTGGCTTGTTTATTTTGCTGTTTTTGTCTTTTTAGTCCGTATAAGACTAAAAGTATTCATGATGTTCATTAATTAATATAATGTCTTTTTAAGGTGTTTCAATTTTCTGTTTAATTCTATATTGAAAGAGAAAAAGCATTTCCTTTGAAACTGTGTAATAAATTTGAAAGTATTCTGAGGAGTTCTTGGTGTTTTTCCTGAGACATGAATGATACATGCTCCATTCTGGTTATAATTGAAATAAAATGTAACTTCAAGGACAGTGCATTAAGAATCACAAGCAGTTTTGTCTGGCATCTTTTAAGCATCTGGAAATGGGATCTGGGTAATTCCTGAATATTCCCATGTGAGCCACTTGTCCCAAGAGTTTTCGAAAGCAATTGGTGGATAGAAAGAAAGGCTTGCCACAGCTTCCCCCAGGTCACTTAATCATTGCTCATTGGAACTGCACTTGTCTATGACACTGTCAGTTGGGAATGAGGCATATTGTATCACTGCACATCAATTGGACTATTGTGAACGTATGAAAGACTTCCATTTCACGCTCAGAAAGTGGAGTAATTTTGGCTTGAAGTACCTAAACTCATCTCAAGCCCAAAGGAAAATGATTTGACAAAGCTGTGTATCAATTCAGCTCAGAACTTGCAGGGTTTCAAGACAAAGCAAATCCCATGTATGCTTTCCTAAGAAGAAAATCATTTGTATCCAACCACAAATGAAATTAAAACATTCTTGATATGGCCATTTCCATAGACAGTATCCCATTTATTTATACCACATGCTTTTGTTCACAATTAATGCCCTCTATGAATTTTTAATTTATCTTCTTATACAATGGAATGCAACTTCCATATAAGATCAAAAGAGCAGACTATGTCTCTTGGGGCCAGCTGTAATTAGAATGAACAGAAATGTGAGGACTTCAACTACCGGGGGAGAGGGAGGCTTTGAAGAAATCAACCAGATATAAAATTGAGTAAATATCACAAGGAAATGCTGCAACTTCTTCAGGGGATGCAGATTGCCTATATAGAGATAATTCAAAAGCCCGAGGAGTGAAATTTCCATTTGTCAAGCCTTGCCAGAGGAGTGTCCTCATTCAGGTATTTGTGGGGACATGCATTGAGACAACCAGTAGACAGGGTTCTCAATCCCTTTTCAAAAAATAATTGTTAATCCTTGGGCAATTCACTCCAGTTTAGTCTCTCTTGCCCTCATTTCCTGTAATCACTTGCATAAAGAATTGTCTCTTTTAATGTGAATTCTTAATTTAATTTTACAGATGAGAAAAATGAATGGTGAGAGATCATGCGACAATCAAGGCTCCAAGTGGGTCTATTTGGTTCTAGGATACACCTTGTACCTTCTCCATGTTCTATCATGTCTGTCTTTTCTTCTGTTACTGGTATTAGAATGAAGGCCATTTGAAAATTAATCTGAAGAATGAAAATTAAATAATTATCATTTCATTTAGGAATATTACTTAATGTTCTTTGATTCTTTGACAATTTCGTATAATTTGCTTTGGATTTAATCTACTACCCTACCCAAGTTCTCCTGTAACTACTTTCTCCACTCTCCCCTCCCTTCCCATGCTACTTCAAGCTTTCTTCTTTGTCTTTCTTTTTTTTTAAACCCACAGTGAGTCGAGTTTGTGTTGCCTAGTTAGTCTTGGAAGTAGGGCCTGGCCTGGAACTTGGTCAACTTTCAAGCAGTCATTAAATTTACATCATTAAAAAAATCTGACTCTCTCTTATAGTGGATAACAAAAGCCAGTAGGTTCTCCCTTAGCTATTGGTGGAATTTTGTGGCCACTTTCTCTCCTC